TTGGGGTGGGGGAAGAAATCTTTATTCTTCCCATGGTGTGAGAGCAGCCCCAACTGTTGATATTTGCCTGGACTGCAGCTCCAGAAGAACTACAGTGTTTTAAAACTAGCGTCAGGTGCTTTTATGCTTAGCATTCATCAAGTTTTCATCCCAGTTAGTTTTGCAAGGTCTCAGGGTGGTTAAAAATAGATTCTGGCAGATGCTGTGATGCAGGAGTATGGCATGGGTGAACTTTTGAGGCTCCTGAAGCCCCCACACACAGCGTGACTCTGTGCTCAAGAACAATTCCCAACAGTCTTCAACGGCAGCATTCTTTGGCTCCGTGACCTACTTCTGGTAGCTGCTGTAGTTATTACACATGTCTTTGCCAGACTGAATTACTGTAACTGCCACCTGAAAAGTCACTTGGAACACACACACACACACACACACACACACACACACACACTCCAAGCTTGAAAACCAGAGGTACATGTTTTCTCATATAATACAAGTAAATTCAACAATGACAAGCAAATACAATGTGCTACATGTTCTTCTCAGTTTTCAACCAAATCGCACAGCAGAATATAGTCAAGCCATATTGACACGGAAGAATGAACATATATCCATTTCTCCAGTTTGATGCAGGCTGTCACTGTGTTGTAATTGCTAACAAACAGATTTTCAACCATTTCAGCTGGCTTCTGCAGCATGGATTCACATAAGGAGAAGGGGTGGGGGAAATTTTGTTCTAATTTGTTACATCTGGTACTTCCTTTACACCCTTGGCCACACAGAGAGAATTATAAAACCCTTTCATGCCCAACACTTAGGACATCCTCCTCCTGCTGACTTGGGAGTAATCCCCATTGAATTCAGGAAGACTTACTTTCCGAGTAGACATGTATAGGCTTATACTAGCTTGTGTCTGTGTATGAGAGCAAGAAATATCCTATTCACTTACTTCCAGAATTCATGCAATTTATAATCATGTCTTCCACCTGCCTAAAACATAACACTGGGTTCTTCATGCCATATTCAGCCATCACTTTCTTGACTTTCCTCTGTTACTTTGAGCCTTTTCAACATGGAAGGTGTTTTCCAGGATTAGAAATCATATTGTATTTGTTAGTACTTTACACAGAAGCCCACAGAATGGAAGGGCTCAATTCAGAGTGCTGGTTTTCAATGCCCTACATGGCTTAGGACCCTGATTTATGTTGAGCTGCCTTTTCCTGTGTCAGTCTGCCCATCATCTGAAGCCTGAGAGGTAGCTCCTTGCCTTTACCATAAGGTCCCAGAGCGGGTTACAAAAATGTAGACAGACAGCTTTAAAAACAGGGGTTTTTGTTTGTTTTTTTAAATTATAGTCACAGGAGTAGGCTGCATTCTAAAATATATGTGTCTCAGGTGTCAATGACCAGAGTAAAGAGGTGTGTTTTGAGCATATGATAAAAGCCATGTCATATAAAAGTATCAAACCCACCTCTGTGGGGAAGGAATTCCACAACCTAGGAGCTTCCACAGCTCATTTTCAGCTGCCACCCCTGAGCTTCTAAGGGCAGTGGAACCACCAAGAGGGCCTGTCTCTTCTTAAAACCTTAGTGTATCCATTGCATTGCATTGCATCACATGACATAGAATCATAGACTTGTAGAGTTGGAAGGGACCCTAACATATGGTGAAATGCTAAAAACATGTTAACTGAATCAAGTGCAAGGGCACTGATAGCCTTTCTTGATAAAGGGGTGTGTTTACACTTGCAGCAAGTGGATCTCTAGGAAGCAATCAGATTCTACATGTGAAAATTCCTGCACAGTTCAGTACACCTGAATGTTGTGTTCCTGCTCCAATGTTAAAAATGGTTTAAAACAAAGAATAGGGTGGGTTCTAAAATATCTATATCTCAGGTGGCAACAGTCAGGCTGATGCTTCAGCATATGATGAAAGCTATATGGTATGTAGCCTTCACCTTCAGGAAATTAGTTATGAAGTGGAAGTAAAAGAAGCAGCAGCAGCAGAAATTGCTTTCCTTATTCAGTAAGGAAAATTTTCAAATGCCCAGATTATTTCAGAACAGTTCAACTTGAAGTAGACAGTTCTTAATCTTTCTTTCTTTCTTTCTTTCTTTCTTTCTTTCTTTCTTTCTTTCTTTCTCCCCCTATAAAAAGTTCTTAATTTCAAAATATCCCTTTTATGCTGTAAAGTTTACAGAGACCATCAAGACAGTGGACCCGATCCAGGGACCCATATTGTTGCAATAGGGAGAGGGGGATTCTATGACAATTCAGATGGAACTGATTTGTGCTGTAACAAATAAAATAAATGAAGAATTTAAAACTCTTCAGATTGGTTTGCATCAGAGGACAGTGGATGTAATATGGACTAGACAGTCATTTTCCCCCACCAACTATACTTTTCATTCATTTCAAGTGTTATGAGCTAAATTACCTGGTGCCTTTATATACCTTCAGAAAGAAATAAGGAGCTGAAAGGTATTGAATAGAGATGTGAACTATCTACTGAATTGTTATATTCCCAGTGCTGATATGCACTTGATGCAGCTCATTATACCAGAATCTCGTTTCAAAACAGGAAAAATCAGGTTTAAAATAGGAAAGAAAAATCTACACCTCTCTATTATTGACTAGAAAGCATGACATAATTTGAAGTTCGTTTCCATTTCCATTTCTAGTCAGGAAAATGATCCTTCTGGTTAAACTCTGTTCACCAGCCTTTAAAATGTGGCTCTTTTTTGGGAGGGGGGTGTTATTGGATTATTGTTTTTATTTTGATTTTATATATTGTGATTTTTTTGTGTGAGCCGCCCTGAGACCTCCAGGTATAGGGCGGTATATAAATTCAATAAATGAAATGAAATGAAACCAGCCTGGTGACCAGACTGATCTTTGAGGGAAAGTCTGCTCTTTGCTAAACTAACAGCTGATTATATGTTCTGATATTTACAGCAGCAGCATCGTAGCGATTACTGGGCCTCCAATGTCAACAAGAAGTCTGTCAGAGCTGTGGCTCATTGGTGGTGTGCATGCAAAAGGTCCTAGGTTGAATTCCTGGCATCTCCTACAACCCCCCCGGGGGGGGGGACTGTGGCTTCAAACCCTGGAGAATTGCTGCCAATAAGTGTAGACACTCTGGTGACATGGATACAGTGGTACCTCGGGATAAGAACTTAATTTGTTCTGGAGGTCTGTTCTTAACCTGAAACTGTTCTTAACCTGAGGTACCACTTTAGCTAATGGGGCCTCCCGCTGCTGCCGTGCCACCGCCATGCAATTTCTGTTCTCATCCTGAAGCAAAGTTCTTAACCCGAGGTACTATTTCTGGGTTAGTGGAGTCTGTAACCTGAAGCGTCTGTAACCTGAAGTGTCTGTAACCCGAGGTACCACTGTACATACTTTTTCCCTGGTAGCACCCGTGTTATGAAATGCACTCACTGCTGAAATACAAGAGGACCCATCTGCACTGGCGTTCTGTAGGCTTTTGAAGATGCACCTGTTTACACAGGCATTCCCTTGATCTCTCAACCTGAGCCTCCTGTTTTAATTGCGGCGCTGCTTTAATGGGATTGTTTTAATTATGGATGTTTCTGCTTCACCATTTGATCTTAGCCATGATGGCTATTAGGCCCAGCCTCCACGATCATACTTCTGAAGACCATTGGCCAGAAATTGCAGGAGGGACTCAACTTTTGCTTGCAGGTGCCATAGGTACCACCTCATGCCGAAGATTGTGGGTGCCTGCAACGGAGGGCTACAACTTTGCCCACTGACTTTGTGGGGGCCCAGCCCCCACAAATATATTATTGTGGGTGCCAAAGCACCCATGGCCCCCTGGAGTTGGCTCCAGTGGCAGGTGACATGGGCCAGGAGTCTGCTTTGCTGGATGAACAGCAGCCTGAAGGGGGAGTGACTCCATCTGCAGCTGATCAGAGGAGAAGGCACTGAAGAGAACCAGCTGGCTCTGGCCTTCTCAAGCAGAGCTCTCAGCAGCCGTCAGATGCTGAAAACAACACCTGTGGTTCCTGGCCCAACCTTCCTGCTCTCTATCTGGACCATTGGCTTTGGGTTCATCTGGGTTCCCTCTGGACTGTCTGACTCTATGTGGATTCTGCTCTCAGGCAAGTGTTTCTCAGAGACTCCTAGCCCCTGCTTGCTCAGCAATGGAACTTGGATGGAGCTATGACAGCAGGTTTCCCTCAAGCATCTGGGTGGCCATTGTCAGAACAGGATGCTGCACTAGATGGGCCATTGGCCTGATCCAGCAAATTCTTCTTATGTCCTTACGATGGGATTGTTTTATTGTATGTTTTGATTATGGTTCTTTATATGTTTGTGTAACTGGTTCTTATGCTCTGCAGGCAGCCCAGAAACCTACCGTATTTTGACATCAAGCAATTTATAAAGCAGACACCACTACCACCAATTAATTAGACAATACTGAGCTAGGTGGACCAATGAGCTAACCCAATATAAAGCAGCTTCCTGGTCCAGGCCAAAGGCCCATGATAGCATCCTGTTTCACACAGTGGCCAATCAGGTGCTTGCAGCAAGCCCCTAGGGCAGGTTTTGAGAGCTGTGGTTTACTGTTGAGAGCAGGGCGCAATGGCTACAATTGGTGCTCTTGCTCCAGGGATTGGAGCAGTGTTTTTGGCCTGTGACTGCGATGGAGAGAGCATGGGCAGCATACCTTAAACTACCAGATCACCTTCCTTCTCCTAACCTTGCTTTAAAGTCATGCCAGAAACAGTCACCGCACTGAGGGTGGGATGGGGTTCAGGTGTCTGTGAGGTTAAATGCAAGTGAGGCTGTGCTTTAGTTGGCTACAAAAAGGTATAAGGAGGAAGGGTCATAGCTCAGAGGTAGAGAACCTGCTTTTCATGCAGAAGGTCACATGTTCAGTCCCTGGAGTTTCCAGGAAGGGCTTGAAAAGACCCCTGTCTGAAATCCTGAAGAGCTGATGCTAACTTTGAGCTAGAGGGTTCAATGGTCTGACCATTAGTGATGGCTCAGTTGGTAGAGCATGGCACTTAATCTCAAGGTTGTGGGTTCAAGCCCCACTTTGGGCAAAAGATTCTTGCATTGCAGGGTGTTGGACTAGAATAGATGATCCCTGTAGTCCCTTCCAACTCTACAATTCCCGTGTACCTGTTGCTGAGTCATGTCCCTGGGCTCTTGCCCAGCAGTAATGCCTATCGTGTGCCCCACCTCTTGGAATCTCTTCTCATAAAATTAATCTCTATATGCAATGGAGTCTTCCCTTTCCATTCTCCTCACTGGGAAGTAATCTTATATTCTTAGCAGCAGTTAAGGGAATTATAGGAGAAGCTGCAATTAGGAGGGATTTTCTAGCCCAACCGTTTCTGTTTTGCCATTCAGAAATAGTTTCTGTGAATCCCAGAGGTATTTATGTTCTGACCATCAGAGTGTGGCCTAACCCTCACTTCCTGATTTCTCAACTGCACGGCTAAGCTACTGCTGACAACGTAAACCATCTTTAAATTGGATTTAAAGCCACAGCTCTGCTGATAAAGTCTAAGCCCTACTGCTTCCGAGAATACTTCCAAAGGAGCACACTAGCACTGAACCAATGGCAAATCTGTGTTGCTAATGTACCTCATATTAAAAGGATGGATTTTACCTGAAAGCGACAGCCCACCATCCATCAGCAACAAGGGCAATACAAGCTATTTTGTTGCCTGAGGAGAAAATGCCCTGCCATGAAGCGAAGGTGCATAGTACCTCTGAACGTGCACAGAATTTATTTTAAAGGGGCATTTAATTTCAGATCAGTAGATAGAGTAGCCATAACCCACACTACTCTGTTACCAGTTTGCCTACTTTTTCTATATTGCTGAAGATAGGTAAAGGTAAAGGGACCCCTGACCATTAGGTCCAGTTGCGGATGACTCTGGGGTTGCGGCGCTCATCTCGCTTTACTGACCGAGGGAGCCGGCATACAGCTTCAGGGTCATGTGGCCAGCATGACTAAGCCACTTCTGGCGAACCAGAGCAGCGCACGGAAACGCTGTTTACCTTCCCATTGGAGCGGTACCTATTTATCTACTTGCACTGTGACGTGCTTTTGAACTGCTAGGTTGGCAGGAGCAGGGACAGAACAACGGGAGCTCATCCTGTTGCGGGGATTCAAACCGCTGACCTTCTGATCAGCAAGCCCTAGGCTCTGTAGTTTAGACTACAGTGCCACCCGTGTCCTGGCCTCCCAAAACTAAACAAAAACAAAACCTGACGTAGGACCAGTGATAAAGCCAATCCAGTGTAGTGGTTAGAGTGTTGAACTATAACCTGGGAGACCAACGTTCAAATCACCACTTGGCCATGAAACTCACTGGGTGACCTTGGGCCAGTCACTGCCTAACCTACCTCACACTGTGTTGTTGTGCAGATTAAAGGAAGAGAGGAAGAACCTTGAGCTCCCTGAGGAAAAGGTGGGCTATAAATGCAATAAATAAATAATGCACAACCTATGATTTTATGCATGCTTTGTTCGCCATTTTGCTGCACGAGGAATTACTTGCGTAGCTCTACTTGGGCACAAGGAATTGAATGTTGCTACTGCCACTAACCAGCATTTGCCACTTAAGGCGTCAACTTTGCTTTGCCTAATGGTAGGGCTGGTTCTGAGTCCCGGTAAGGAGGTGTAGATTCAGCTCTTCAGTTGAAAAGAGCGCCTTGGGCAAGAGATACCTGACAGTGCATGATAGATGGGGCGAAGTGCATGACTCATGGCTCCATCATTTTTCCATCATGCATTGCAGGGCCCTGGTCACTTGGCACTAGTGCTAGGTACCAGGAAAGGCTAGGGCAACGCAGGAGAAACTTGCGCTGGTTCTGACTTCCTTAGTGCCCCATGCATATTGATGGCTGTTTATGGTTGGTCAACAGACCCACTTGCTAACTAACATCCTGGTTGGTTAAAAGCTCACAGAGCCCCAGTTCAACCACTTGTGGTCCAACCCGGCCACTTCAGGAGCCAGACTAGGCTTGCTGAATTCCTTAGGTATGTGTTCTTCTCCTCCAGCAGTTTATATATCTAACAAAGCTTCTTCCAACGTAGCCCACGCCCAGTATTTTGGACTGAAGCACTATAAGCCCCAGCCAGCATCTTGCTCCTTCCTCCTCCTCGCACGCCTAGTTCAGCAACTGAAGATTAGAGAGCCAAAACTCTGGCTGGGATATGTATCAATATACACTGCTTAGAAATAATTTATTTGAACCTCCGCTTTCAACTTCAAAATAGCTGGTAGAGCTGCATTATTTATATCTCCAAGCGCTACTACTAGATCGAGATCTACCACTGGAAACGCATTTTTGCCAGCTCCCCAAGAGCTGCAAATGTGTCATCCAAATAAATTATTTTCAGAATCCCCAATGTGTGCTATGTATTTGTTATAAAAGTACACTTAAAATAGTCTCTGCCTCAAGAAGGACTTGAAATTAAGTATTAAATAAGAGAGCTGGGTCTGTGGAAATTATGCAGAAAAAGTGTATCCCATAAAACATTTCTTTCCACCCAATCTGCCTCGCACAGGGATTGTTCTCAGCTTTACCCTTTTGAGGCTGACATGTAACAATCAAGTTGTTTTAAAACTTCACAGAGGCTCTAGTTGTCAAGATAATAGAAACCCTTTAAAAAGGTAGCTAGAATTTACAACAGTAAAATGCTAAAAAAGAAATAGAGGCTTGTGGGACACTAACTTTGCCCTAGAAAATGAGATGTATAATAGAACAACCCACAAGGTGTTTCATTTAGGGAGAAGGAAATGTTTTGGGTAGGAGTTGGTGATGTTGTTGGGTGGTTTTGTCATTGTTGTGGGAGAGCTACTGCCTGATTTAGAATTGGGTATTTGCTTTGAATACACATGACTTGAATCCATGCCTTAGACCTTGCTAGAGATGATGCCTTGGCAGTTGTCATGAAAGCCACTTCCGAACTTGAGAGGAGGTGGAGTTGCGGGCTTCACGCCTCCTCCATGTGTGCGGGAGCTGGCTCTCAGCCACTGCGTGATTGAGGGAATCTCTGGTCGCGTCGTACCCAGGCCAGCCAATCAGCTGGCCTGGGGCGGAGGATGTGGCTTAGAGTATAATACACTGGCATGGCTGGGAATTGCCCTCTTTTGCAGGGGGGGAGGAAGCGCCATCACCTCCCCCGCATGTTGAAGGGTAGTCCGGTAAAGGATTCCAGGGGGCATCACCCTGTCCGAAACCTATGGAGGTGAGGGCCCAAGGCACGCCCCCAAGCGGTGACCCCGGAGAAGTCCCTAGTTGATGTGCATCAGCAGGTCTCCCCCTACTGGTGGTTAAGCCTTCCCGGACTTCAAGCAAACAGGTTGAAGCCGGTTAGTTGATTAGGACCAGTGCCTAAGCCAATACTGCTCATTACCTGTAACCAATAAAGTTGTGGCCATTTTAGCCCATTAATCTTAAATGATTTTCTCATGTGTCTTTATTTCACCGGAGGGAGGCAGGAACTCGCCACACAATCCTTGGTTTTTTTTTGAGTTTTCAGTGGAGCAGTCACGTTTTCTCTGCCACTCCTACTGAGACTATCTGGGAGCAGGTCTGATTGAACTCAATGCGGCTTACCGCTGGCTGCTAGACATGAATCGGAGTGCGCTGTGAGCAATGCAGGGCAAATGTGTGCAAAATGCATTGCTTTGCTATTCGCTCTAGAGCTTCAGAGCAATCTGAGCTTGCTGTGGCACCGCTGATCTATAGTCACGACAACTCCCGGTGACAAATATAAATATGCATGCAAATCATGATCTCCATTTAGTGTGGCGCCAAGCTGTGAACCAGTGTTTGTTAGCTTCAGCGCCCAACCTGCTTGGCCTTTTGATTTATTTTTGATCAATCATTTCCAACAGCAAGGTGGTAGCAGTGGAACAAAAGCTTAAAAGGAAAGATTGAGCTTTTTATTGCTTTCAGGTCAATTGTGCTGACACTGCATTGCATTGTGGCCTTCCTCTTTCCCAACACTCCAGTGAATAATACAATGTACAATAGATCTTTGAAATGAAAGCCTTCCTAACTAAGCTAGGAGCACTTGTATCTGTAATGGTTGCTTTTAATGGCTATTGGAAATGAGAACCTATTAGGAGCAGCAACTGCCGAGACCTTTTGTACTTAGCCTTCATCACGGAGCTATTTCTCATCTGTGTTTGTAGAAAGAATGCATTTTAATTATTATTATTTTCTGGTAAAAATCGCACAAAGCATTTTTTGAGTTCTCGCCACATTCGGCCACTTACCACCTCTTTTGTTTTGGGTTTTTTCTTCTGAACAGGACTCTCCTATAGCACTCCAAGAGCAGAACTGGCCTAGAGACTAGTTCCGGCAATCACAGTGTTGGACTGGGGAAGAAGAATTTGATCACATGATAGGGACACGCCATGCACCAGGACAGGCCATTGGTCCATCTAGCGCAGTATTGTCTATTCTGAATGGCAGCATCTCTCTCCAGGATTCCAGGCAAGGACTATATATGGAGCACCATAATTGGGTAGGCAGTAATGTGAGAATGTCGGCTTCTCTCAAACTTAAAAAAAAAGCATTTTTGGAATCCTTGAAGCTGTTGAGAGAAAGTATAATGTCCGGGTTGCATCAGTGAAATTTCAGAATCGGTTATCTGTTGCCTCCCCCCCTTTCCCTGGTGTCCAAATAGTCTTCACTTTTTCTTAGTCTCCTCTGGCTCACCCATGATATATAGCACTCTGAGCTAACTGTATATCCATCTCCCAAGGCCCACCCTTTGTATAGGGCAGATGTTGCACAAGACCCACCTTCACAGCTGCATCTCTTGCGTTCCCTTGTGGGTGGTCCACAAGAGAGAGACAATGGGAGATGATGACCATTTTCAGTCATCTCTCACCCTCCTGCCAGATAGAGCAGACTGAACAGTGGCTATCCACTCTGACTGCAGATCCCACTGCAACTCTCCCCATCATAAATATCTTGTATGCTTTTGCTTTACCCGACTGATCCCATGAAGCTCCTGTTGTGTTTATATTGCATTAACTATTCCAAAGAGCAAAACCGGATCCAGATA